ACCTCATCCCCCCCTGACCACCCACCCACCTGTCATCGTCAACTGCTACTCCCCCCAAACCCCATTCGCCATACCCCCCTCCTCCTTTCCCCCTCCCCCCCCCCAGGCGGCTCTGTTGGGCCCTATTTGATCATGAAGCCAGTAGAGTGTCCCTCTATCTGCTGCACACACCCACAACTACTTCAACTACCGCCATAACTGACAACAACCGCAATGGGGGGAAGGGGGGAGGAGGCGACCAGCTGGGGGAAGGGGAGTTAGGGTTTGCGGATTCGGAGCCCTTGAGCCCCGAGACTGGATCGGGTGCGGCAGGAGCGGGACACGTACAGGCCGGGAGGAGGAGGCTGAGGGAGCCCCAGCAGGAAAGGGAGGTGGAGGGGGGGGGAGCAGTGTGCGGCACTGTACGGGAAGCTGACGAGCTGTGGCTGACGTGGCGGATGGAGGTGGCGGGAGTGGACAAGGGGGGCGAGGTGGTCAAGAAGATTGCCGTACCGGGTGGGTGGGTGGTGGGTGGGTTTGCGGGAGGAGTGTGTGTGTTGGGGGGGGGGGGAAAGAGGAGTTGGTTTTGTTTCGGAGGAACACCGTGCGCATGTGTATTTATGCACACCAACACTTAGGAAGTCAGCGCTCGACCAGCTGAACAGTAACCCCGTTTTTTTGGAGGTACAGCCCCACTCTTTATGACGTACTGTCGTACCCGTGGCGCAGTATGCCACGAGGAGCGTCCAGTCTTTTCCCCCTCACTCCCCCCCTCACTCCCCCCCTCACTCCCCCCCTCACTCCCCCCCTCACTCCCCCCCGAAACCAGACCAACTATCTAGGGTACCCCAGACATTAAGACTTCCCCCCCTCCTTTATCGAACTTCTCCCCGTCCCCTCCCCTCCCCCTCCCTCCCCCCCCCCATACACACACAACCTGCCAGGGGAGCTGTCCCACCTGTTTCGCCCAGGCCAGCGGGGGTGGGGGGTGCAGGGGTTGCTGTCCGCCTCGGAGCTCGACGCGCTACTGGGCTGCAGCCGGCTGCGGGTGTGTGTAACCGTGGTGCACCCACCCCTGGAGGGGGAGGAGGTGCTGGGGGGGGAGGGGGTGGCGCCGGCCTACCTCAGGAAGAGGGCGGCAGCAGCGGCTGTAGCGCCAGGGGGTGGGAGGGGAGGTGATGGCTGCCGTACTATTAAGGAGGGAGGAGGAGAGTTGCAGCAGCTGCAGCTGCAGCGGAGGGAAGGGGAAGGGGAGGAGGGGGAGGAAGGTCTTGGCGGCGTTCACGAGGGCGGTACGTCAGGAAGATGTGACCGCGCATGTACGGGACGAGGTCAGCAGTTACCGCTGCAGCAGCCGCAAAACCACCAGGCTCCTACCCCTCCACCTGGCCCCCTGCTATCCCTGGAGCGCATTCGGCCGGTTTCGGAGTGCGAGGTGATGCTGGTGAGGCGGGGTGGGGTGGGGGAAAGGGGAAGGGGGGGTAAGATACCTTGTGTTCGTGTCGGAAAGGGGAAAAGGCTGGTTGGGCCAGGGGAGGCGTGTTCGTATGTGTGTGTGTGTGTGTGGTGGTTTTATCGTACAAATGTTCACAGGGGCCTTCGATCCCTAAGTTTCCCCCCTTCTCCCTCAACCCCTCCCACCCACCCCCTTCCCTAGGTGCGGCATACCTAAGGACGGCAGTTGGTGCATTTCACACGTCGGATCCTCACCCCCCCTCCCCTCCCCCTCCCCTTCCCCTCCCCCCGCAGGCCAGTATTAGCCCCCGTGTTGTGCTGGTGGATGACTTCCTGCCCGCATGTTTGTGCGACGCGCTGAGGGCGGTGGCGGAACCAAGACTCATTCGCAGCAGAGTGTCGACGGGTAAGAGGGGTGGGGTGGGTGGGGGTTGGGGAGCGGGGGGGATGGATGGACAATTCGGGTGGACTAAAACCAACATAGGGTAACAAAACCCCAACACACGCACGCGCGCGTGCGCCCGGGCCCCCACCGGCCGCCTCTGTCAGGAGCTGAGACCCCCAGCCGCGTGAGTCACTCCACGTTCTTCACGGGTGACTCAGCCCGGCTCGCGGAGGTGGTGGCGGTGGAGGCGCTCATCCAGCAGCTACTGGAGCGCACCGAGGTGACGGGGGGCGGCAGACCCACGCTGGTGAAGAGCGAGGCGCTGCAGGTGGGTGGGAGGGGGCGGGGGAGGCGCTGTGCCAGCGGCCACGTCGGCCCAATTCGTCTGAGATTACTTAGAAATGTCAAGTATTCCCGTTTGTTGTTGTTGTTCTTATTATTGCTGGTGTTGTTGGTGTTGTTGATGATGTTCTTGGTGTTGGTGTTGTTGTTGGTGATGGTGTTGGTGTTGGTGTTGGTGGTGTTGGTGTTGGTGGTGATGGTGTTGGTGTTGGTGTTGGTGTTGGTGATGGTGTTGGTGGCTGCAGGTGGTGAGTTACGACGTGGGCGGGTTCTACAGCGAGCACTACGACAACAAGGCGGGCGGGGTCATCAGCCGGGCCGCCACCGTCATCATATACCTGGAGGACACGCCGCAGGGGGGCGCCACGTTCTTTCCCAAGTGAGTGGGGGGACGGCGGCGGGGGGGAGGGGAAGGGGGGGAGGGGGGAAGGGGAGGGGACGCGTGATGAGGTAACGTAGCGTGTGGACACACATCCACATCCACATCCACACACGCACACACACACGCACACACGCGCGCGAGATCCAGGTCGGGTTGGGGGATGAGAGATCGTGGCGGGGATTATGCGAGGTGGGGTGGGGAGGCGGGTGCTGCGGGCGGTGGCAGGAGGTTTGGCCCCCCGACCCCGGGACGGTGTGACGGTGTGTGAGCCCGGGACTTGTTATGCCGCTTTTGTTACCGGGGCCCCCTTGCGGATAAGGCCTCTTTCCGTAGCTGGCAGGGGGCAGGGGGCCCCGCTTGCGGTCAGTGGGGGACACACATACACACACGGTTGCGGCACCCCCTGCAACGACCTCCAATTGAAACGATCCGTTACCGTGTTGTGGCAGTAGCTGTTGGCACAGATCTCGTTGATGTTGTTGGTTTGGTTTCTCCCGTTTCTCTCCTGTTTCTCGTTGTGCAGTTACGGGATTCTTCCGCCACTACTATTTTACAGGACGTCTTACAGCGCAGCAGCAGGGGCACGGACTGTGTCGAATATCAACACCACCACAGCAGGTTACTTGTCGTCACATCCATACACGTGAAGACACGCACTTGGTTGTCCTCTTGCTTCTTCCTCTCTCCTTCCAGGTCGACGGGGCTGCCCTCCCTGGATAGCCTCTCCCGCGCCATGCCCGCCCTGGACGCCATTCCGCAGCTCACGTACCAGCTGCACGCAATGCGAGTGGCGCGGCCGGGGCTCCGCATATACCCCGCCAAGGGCCGCGCGGTCATCTTCTGGTAAGGAGTCCTGGTTCGCCGGAGGGCCCCTTCGGACAGGCCAAGTGCGGGGTGTAAATTTGTCGCTTTGGCGAAGAAAGCTTTATCTGTTCAGCAGCCCCATTTCAAAAATGGGTTAGATCCGCCAAATTCAGCGTTTTCCTCGTTACCATTTCAAAAATGGGTTAGATCCGCCAAATTCAGCGTTTTCCTCGTTAATAAATATAAGTACACGGTTTCACGGTGTAGTCCTCCTCGCAATCAGTGCTTTCAACACAGACACGTACACGTGCAAGCACCGCTCCCGCTGAGGCGGTGACCGACATACTCTCGCGGCCAAGGCATACGGTTTTGACTATTTCATATCTCCTCGACACGTAACATCCCCTGCCGTTACGGCTGCGGCCACAAAAAAGTGTTCTGTCGTCGTACCGGCACGACATGAGAGTACGGTTTATGGCGGTACGGATGCAAAAGCCTCAACATCCCCCCGGGAACGACTGAGGGTAACCCAGCTTGGCCAAATCTTTCATTCGACAAACGGCAAAATCTGCGGGGCTATGCTGCGCTGAGTTCAGTTCTAGTGCTTCACCATTTATCGCATCATCTGCTTCCGCAGGTCTCGACTGGTGGACGGCTCCGAGGACCTGGCGTCTCTGCACGCCGCAGAGCCCGTTCGCGCGGGCAGCAAGTGGATTTGCACCCGCTGGTTCAAGGAGTTGGCGGCCACCTAATTTAGAGAAGGAAGGGGGAGATGTACGGGATATATAGCTAGACTGATATATCTGGTTGCTTCGTTGCCGTTGACACATGGGGGTGTGAGAAGTCGACAGGATTAAGTGGACAGACGATGCCCGATTAGCTGCGTGCGCTGTAAATTATCGTGAAATTGCGGCTCTTGAAACGTTCGGATAGGAGAACAATTAACACGGGACGGCTCGAATGCAGCCAGTTGGTGGGCGTGGCAAGCAGCGCTGCCTTTGCAGTATGTGTTTTCAACCAATAAGGCACCTTGACATCCTCCGTGGATGTTTGCATGTGTAACCACCACACCGATAGCTATGTAACCGGTAACCACTCGATTCCTCCGCCCTTGCTGTGATTGGTTTCCAAAGTCCAGCCAGGTTGCCGCTGAATACAAACCAGTGCTGATACAACAGCTGTCTGCAAAGTTTGCTGGTGCGTTGGCTGCCTGAAGCTTTTCGTTGGTCATTGGCGAAAAAGGAGCGGAAAAGAAAGCAAATGGAATCACATGCACAGCGTTACAACCGATACTGCAGTCGCCACTCGCCGCTTCCCAGCTCCTTCGAGTGCTTTAGATGATGCCAATCTTGTTGGCAACGTCCAGGGCATCATAATCGGCCGTGAGGCAGACGTACGCCTTCTTCTGCCCATCGGGCCTGTGCGCGGAGGACAAGGGGTTGCAACGCTGAGATACCATATAAACTCAATAAACTTGCGCCAAGACTATTTCCCCCAAATAGCAGCTGCTCGTGCTCAACTGCAGCAGCAAAACCATACCTGATCAGAGTGTTGACCTTCTTGGTCTGAATGTCGTACATGCGCTGCACAGCCTCCTTAATCTGCTTCTTGTTGGCCTTAAGGTCAACGATGAAGACGAGGGTGTTGTTGTCCTCAATCTTCTTCATTGCCGACTCGGTCGTCAGCGGGTACTTGAGGACAGCGTACTGGTCAAGCTTTTGAAGCGAAGGCGTGCTGCACAATTGGGGGTAGTGCAGGATACGTTACGACATTAACATCCCAATCCACGGAGTGCGCTATGCGTTGCCCAGCTAGAAAAAAAGGTATGCGTCCGTTGACCCAACTTGGGCAAAGCTGTGATGCTTGGGTCTGCGACCCCCCCCCAGTGTTTGCCCCTGCTAGGCACCCCGAGCCAGTTCTCCCAAACTGCAGGGCGCAGCGCCATACGCCAGAACCCCCCATACATAGGCCATTTAACTCCAACGCTGCTGCTGCTGCAAATAAGTTTATGCTGGCTGACATCAGGCCCGGCTCCCGCCACGTGCCGATGTTGCCGGCTTGGTGCTAGCTACGCAAGCCTGCTCGCCAAAAGATGCCGTTATGACGAAAGACGCTGCTGGCGGAGCGTCATAAGATGATGCAGCTCTCCAATTTGGCACTGCCAGCCGCCGCCCCCGCCGGTGCCCGACCCGGCGGTGTCAAAGCCTTGAGACAATAGCTCCGAGGAAAACATTCACAAATTTTCTTTCAACCCACTGACTGAAGCTCACCTGATCCTGGGGTACTTGCCCTCCCGGGTCCGCTTCAAGGTCTTCGGCCGGTGGAAAACAACTGAGAACCGTGGCTTCCGTGACTTCTTAAAGCTACCCTTCTTTACGGCCTTAGCAGCCTTGGCGGCCACCGCCTTCGCGTCGCCCTTGCCTGCACGTAGACGCAGCCATTGTCAGTCTGACTGTTCTAATGCACTGAGTTCATTTCAAAAGAGCATCTATTTCTTCAATGTTGAAGCTACGTTAAATTTGCTAGAGAGGGCTAGTTGGCTTCCTCGACCGCAAAATGTAGCGCCGCCAAAGCAAGTAATAGGAGAGTCATACCTTTCGGGGCCATTTCGTCTCTACGGGCTCCTCGAAGGTTGGAAAGAGAGAGAAATGTGCTGCTGTGCGTCCTTTGGGAGGGACCCTGGACAGGGCCTTACTGCAGGAGGCCCGTATAGCAGTTTTACTCAGTCCGGCCAAGATGAATGCCGCAAGCATTATATAGGTACTACTGTACTTAGCATGAAAGTACGCTCCTACACTGCTAAAGACGGGAAGTGCGTCCCATGAAACTTCCTGCACATCATTTCCAAATTCTGTAACCCATACCCGCCATTTCCAACCGATGGCTATCCAGGTTATTACTGTTAACATTACCGTTAAAGATGCAAACTGTCTAATTATACACCTTAGGAATGCTGGGATAGCCCCACACTATAGCCCCACACTATGGACCCTTATCACCCAGTGGGTGACATCCGCCATCGTGGACGGACCTTCCTTAAGCAGGCTCATCACGACGCGCAAGAGCTCAAGCCACAACACGATAACCCTATTCTCATCCCATTCCATCCAGTTCACAGTCCTTCATCCTTCAGCCCTATGGCCTCTCAAAGCCCGCTCAAACCCCCAACGATCGAGCTTCACTGCGCCTGCGCATCAGACTCAGCCTGCTTTGATTTGGACTTCAGGTTGATCTTGCTGCCCAGGAAGTATCCCTCAAAGTCGTGGCCCTCCTCCCAGAACGGCTGCCCCAGCAAGGACACCGCTAATGCTCCGCTGCTCCCGAGCACGGCGCCCAGGGCCGACGCGAACATAAGGGGCCGCACACGGAATGGCCGCAACAACCACAACGCGCTTGCCGCCCCAGCTGCCGCCCCGCTGGCGGCGAAGTTATGCCATGTATGCTGGCCCCGGAACTCCCCTAGGTAGTAGGCCCCCGCGTAATATAATCCTGCAGTGCACACGAGACACAGCACACAGCATGGGCGGGAGCCCCAATCGGAGGCGGCCGGGTTGTGGGATGGCTGTGCCAACGCGGACGCAACTCCGGCCATCATCCCTTAGGTTCATCCATTGCCCAGAAATGTCCGTCCTCCTTAACACGTAACTTTGACAGGGTCCGGTGATGCCAGGAAATGAGGGCCTTGGCGAAAGCTCCCTTAAGTCACGCCCAAACCATATTTGCCTGTGTTATACACCCACCGGCTGCATGCAACAAGGAGAACCCAGCTGGTTGTCACGACTACCAAGCAACCACAGCCCAAAGGCTAATCTGGCGCAAGCCCTCGCACCTGACACTCCCGCGATGACGGACACCTCCTGGCCAACACGCAGGAAGCCGTACTTGAGCATTTGTGAGTTTCGATACCCCGATCGTAGTGAAGAAGGCAAGACTTTAGAACGAGGCGGGAGGAACACTTCCAGCTCGTGCCTGCGTAGGGCCCCACAGCAACAACGCCAGATAGTGTGTAGGTAGAGAAGGTCCGGGATTCAGGGGTACGGGGCCCGGACACAAATTTGCAGCCATTTCGATCCTGTGCGGTTTCCCTTCTCTCCCCCCTTTAGTTGGCTGACGTGTCCGGCAAGAGACCGGCCCGACGATGCCTCACCTGTTCAGGTATTGTTTCAGGGTGCACACTGCAAGTCCAAAACCTGTTGCATGAAATGTTTTCCTGTACCAGTCAGGGGCGTCACGCCAAAAGAAGACGTCATAGAAGGTGTAGTAGTCCGGCCCCTGCAATGCGTTTCGTGAAATTTTAAAGGTGAAAGAAAGGATATCTAAACCAACATCTTTACACCAGCTTCCTTACCGTAGTTAGGGTCGCTGAAGACGTGCTGGCTACGCCACCATTGATATCGCCGGGAGCAGCCATGGCCAGTGCTCTTTTTTCACCTTATTATTTATTGCTACAAGTAGTATCTATCACTCCATAGCCAGTTCCGGGTCGCAGCAATAAATCTGACTCATTCACAAGGTCCCCACGTCTAGTGAATTGCTGCTGCTAATGTTCTTCGCGACTGATAATTTATTTTGCGGCACGATAAATACACGCCATCAACGAACTGTATTTCCAGGATCCCAGGATTTAGACGTTCGTTTCTGTCGTTAATTAGTTGTCCACTAATGTCGCATCCTCGCTTTCGCTGTTTCGCGGATACTTGCATTCAGGCATTCTCGCATGTGCTTTAAGTCCTGCTCCCCTACAAGCTGTATCACCATAAATGAGCTTTCCAAAGGTAACGGTCATCCTTACCATGGCCAGGGTGGTTGAACGGTGCGTCAGGGCGCGAAACGCCAGCCAACATGTCGCCCCGAATTCACAAGTACACGTCCGACGCGTGCAACAATCAAGAGCGGGCAAGTGTTGCACTAGCACACCAGGCGGCTGGCAATTCGCAAGTTTACGATCAACACAGCCAACAGAATTCACCGGTTGCGCAGTTGTTCACAACTTCGTAAGCACGTGCTCCGTTCTGGTGGTGCGGTATCCCCGTCCAGGCTTCTGCACACTTCTGCACACTTCTGCACACACAGGATTATAAGAAGGAACAGCTTGAAACCCTAAACCACTCGCACCATCGAGGAATGGCACTTCTCCACAGCGTTGACCTACCCCCGCCCATTGCCTCCTCCCCCCCTCGCGACCAGCAAGCCCCTCATGAAGCAGCTTGCGGTGCTCCTGGTCTAGGTGTCCGCCGGTCGTTGGGCGGCCTGAAGGCCTGCACCACTGACGGCACCGTCTCCACGTAGGGCCCCTCCAGCAGCTGTATGCAGTAGGGAATGGACTTGAACACCTCGTCGAATGTCTCCCGAATGGATTTCGGCTTCCCTGGCAGGTTGATGATGAGCGAGCGGCCGCGGATACCTGCCGTTTGCCTCGACAGCACCGCAGTGGGCACATACCTGGGGTGACGTGGGGTCCCACGGGGGGATGAGGGGCTCCGTCGGGAGAGACAGGATGTGGCTTTAGCGGGGTAGGCTGTGCTACTGTAGGTCGTACTAAAGGTGACTTACAAGCTGCACTTGCTGCAATGGCAGCACCGGATATGTTGAAAGGGTAAGGGGGCCCGGGCGCGAGGTTCGCACGGACCTGATGTCACTCAAGTGATGTGGCTGCTCCGTTCTGTTCTGTTCGCAAGCCGCTGTCGTTCTCCACCCCCTCTTCTTCTGTTTCGTCTTTCCCCCCCCCCTCTCTCTCTGCCTCAGTAAGCATCGCAACCCCAGCCGCTTCCTGGCTCCGCACAGTGCCGGAGGGCATTGCTGTCCATGTCGCGCAGCCACCGACGCTACTAAGCGATTCATCGCCACAACATCTGAACAAACATAGAGCAATCACGTGAGTCAGCTCATAACCTGGCCACGTGAAAGCCGTCGTACGACCCCTGCGGACCGAGCCGCGGCCTATCCTCATCGTCATCGTCGTCATCAGCAGAGCAGCAGTTCACTGAAGGACCTGACGCCGGGTGGCTTACCTGGCCCAGCCGCCCTCCGGTGCAAAGGCCAACCCAACGTCCCCCCACTCAAGCGTCAAGCCCCCCTCCTTCCCCCCGTCATCCTGTCTACCCCTCGGTCCCCCACCCGGCGACATCCCTCCCCCTCCCCCTCCCCCTTCCCCTTCCCCACCCCCTTCCCCTCCCCCTTCCCCTCCCCCTTCCCCTCCCCCTTCCCCTTCCCCTCCCCCTCCTCACCTCAGGCTGATGGCCCTCATCTGTTCCCCGTACCCCGGCATCATGCGGCTGCACACCGCCTCGGTGGCCTCCGGGGTCACATCCCGGGGGGCGGGACCTGTGCCGCCCGTGGTGACGATCAGGCAGCAGCCCTCGCGGTCAGCCTGGGGCGGGAGTGAGGAGGGAGGGGGGGAGGGTGAAGAAGGGAGGGAGGGAGAGGGGGCCGCGAGTGAGGCGCGCAGGGGCAGTGGACGTGCATGATGTAAGGAGGGTTGAGGAGGTGAAGCCGGTTGAAGAGGGTAGCGGGGCGGGGCGGAGTGAGCCCAGGGACCATGGGGCGGGAGCGGCGGAGTCCGGCGGCATCCGGACAAGGCAAGAGGCGAGGCGCGGCGAGGCGCGGCGGAGCAGGGCAGCTATATGCGGGCGGTGTTCAGTGGCTAGCTGTGTGGGTGCCGTGGTGAGGGAGGACGGGGAGGGAGGTGCGGGAAGGAGGGGAGGAGGGAGGTCACAGAGGCAATGAGTACTGCAGATGTCCCCTATCCGGGGGGGGATGGAGTTCCCGTCGTCATCGTCATCGTCATCATGCACTTCGCAGCAGCGCATGGTCAGTACGGTAGCTTAGAGGATTCCATCGCCATTTCCACGGCACTTACAACCTTTACTGTTCTCGCCCTGTCCAGCCTCATGCTTCGTGCCTAAATAGGAGTCGGACGGAGTCGGACCGCCCGACCCCGCAGACCGCGAGAGCCGTGTCCTGAACCCCAAGGGACGCGCGCCGGTGGACTAGGGCTTGTGCACCCGTTAAGCCGTCATGATATTTCGGCCGTTCATGACCCGCTTCCATGGTGCATAGATATCATGTGAATACTTCGGCTGCGACGAGACGAGAAGCTGCGGGTTAGCCTCATGCAATTGCTACATTCCCCCCGCACACCATGTCGATGAGGGCCTTCTCGATTTCAGGCTGCTCGTCGGCCACCACACGGTACACTGCCTCCCACGGCGACTCCACGGCCTCGGCGAAGAAGTTCAGTATTGCGGGGCCGCTCAGATCCTCGTAGACGCCAGCACTAGCGCGGTCACTGACGGTAAGCACGCCGAAACGCGCGGTGTCGCCTATGCTGTCCGGCGAGCCTCCGCGCAGTGGCGGCGGGTTCGTGGTTGTGGAGGCCATTCTGCAGTCACGTGCTGCAGAGGTTTGTGTTCACTATCCCAGAGACTCCGATTACTGGGCATACGGCAGTAGCTGTGCACCGGCAAGCGTGCTACGAGACACAAGCACGTCACTTAGGCGCTTGCACTTTCAGGTTCAATCGGGGTTACATAGGATTGATTGCATGTATGGAAATCTCTTCAAGAATCGGTTCTGGTGTTAGGTCAAGTTTCTCAGCAACAGCAACTTCGTCAACGGGCGTGCCGTACTGTAAGCTTCTCAATCGCTCGGTACATAAAATGTCAAACTTCAGCGAGTGTCCAGTTGATACAGGTGGTTCGTCGTAGATCTATGAGTGCAATAATTATAGTTTTGACCACGCTGCGAAGTACTTTTCGCGACCCAGCTTCTTTCGGGCCCAAAATGCTAGACGCCTGAACCCCGGCACTGTAGTCCCCTTCTTGCCGGCACGTAGGCCACAACAAGACAAGATGTTCAAAAAGCTATTTGGACAGAAGGCTTCGCCTGGCGCGGTCTCACAATCTTCCGCCACAGCAGCGAACAAGACTATCTCTGCCATCCAGAACCTGACTGATCATGAGGAGACTTTGGAAAAACGTAAAGCTCTGCTCGAGAAGCGCGTGGAACAGGAGCAGGAGAAGGCGAAGAAGTTTCTTAGCGAGAAGAAGAAGGCCCAGGCACTGCAATGCCTGAAGAAGAAAAAGCTCCTGGAGAACGAAATTGCCAATCTAGACAACATGATTATGCGGGTTAATGAGCAGCGAATGATGCTCGAGGGCCAGCGCACGACAACCGAGGTGGTGTCCACTATGCACAGCGCTGCGTTGGCCGCGAAGGAGAACATGCGGGTCATGAAGATCGAGAACGTGGACAAGGTTGTAGACGAAATCAACGAGACTACGGACCAAATGCGCCAGCTCAATGAGGTGTTCGCCGCTCCTCTAGGGCTTGGCGCGGACCTAGACGAGGACGAACTCATGAACGAGCTCGAAGAGCTCGAGGCCTCGGAGCTGGACAAGGAGCTACTGGAGCCGGCACCTGTCCCCGTTACTAAGGTGCCTGCAACTGCGCAGGCTGCTGCACAAAAGATGCCGACCGTCCCCCAAAAGCAAAAGCAGCCGCCGGCCAAGACGCAAGAGGAGCTGGAGCTCGAGGCGCTGCAGGCTGAGATGGCGCTGTGAAGAGGGGTCGTAAGAGGGGCGGGGGCCTCCATGCAGGGGGGCATGTATTAGGCAGGCGGGGCCATGGGGTTTTCGTGGGGTATGCCTAACGGCGGTGGAAAGATGAAGGGTGCCTAGGCTATCTAGTTAAGTGTAACCCATAAAATACTGAGATACGGAGTGGTACGGGATGACAATGTTGTAGAACGCCTGCTGATTTCGCTTCCGGGCATGCGAATGCGTCCCTGACTGAGGCAGTAGGTATGCAGGGTTGGCGGGGAAGCGCTGAAAGTTTGGAGAATGTCTTGTCTGCGTCGGCACAACACTGCATTTGATATTTGCAGCTTGCAGTTAAAGAAGGCAGGGGCAGCGACAGGCAGGTATGGGCTTTTTTCTTTTCATGGGATATGTGAGGATCAAGGCCAAGTTGCTTGGACTGCAGACAGTGTGCGCAGCATGGCATTCGGAGAGGGTGCTGGGGATGTAACGCGCTGAGGTTGCGTGTTCCGCACCAGGCCTTTTTCCATACATAGAGCTGTGTCTGGGTGTTTTTTTTTGCGGAGCTTATTGGCTCCAATTTACGAAGTACTTGGCTCATTGAAGCTGTTTGTCGTTGATGTGTTGGCAAAGGGGTGGGCCCGAAGTACGCCTAGCATTTGTGTGTATGTTACTGACTTGTATTGCGCCGTACGTTTGACTTGTGGGCCTATGCACGAATTGATGTTCGCCCGTTGCATATGTTCCTTCTGATTATAATCGGATATCAATCGATGTATCTATCTGTGCAAGCTGCGAAGTTGTACTATTAGTCGTCACTGACACAAGGGAGAACTCTTCTTGGAGCTAGCTTACCGAAACAACATTGGTCATGGACAGCGATCTTTCTTTTGACGATGCTTTAGCTCTTTTGCCAAAAGAGATTCGCGAAGTCGTTAGAGAACTGCCACCCAGTGAGGCTAGCCGAGTACTTCGAAAACTGTTTGTTCGAAGGGATATTGATTTTCGCTCTCTCCTAGAAAGTGATCTGCATGATATTAAGGTAAATGTGTTAGGACTGTATCTTGCTTGGCGGCGTCATCAAGGCAGCGGCGCTTCACACCTCAGGCGCGAACGGCAAACGATTGCGAATTTGGGTTCAAAAGTATCGACGTGGATCTCACCTGGGCGGAACTGAGCCAGGAAAGGTGTGTTGTGCGGGTGCCTCCGTGGACCCTGACTATCGTTTTTAGGCTCCTTCTTGTTCCCTGATGCCATTAATAAACAGGCGGACTTGGCAGTAGACGGATTTGAAAGCGACGTGCCGCTCAGGAATCACCCATCCTTGACAGATGGTTAAGCTGAGTGGGTTGGCTGTCCACGCATGCAGCTGTCCTTGCGACGAGCATACAAGTTCCCCCGCGCCAGGCACATCGTGGCATTACTCACGTCGCTACAACAGCTGTCAAAAACCCCTATTCAGACCTGTTAGCCCAATGGCGTTAAAAGTAAATGAGAGGACGGTTAATGCCCGGCCTCGTCCCATGGCTCCCTAAAGGACAGCGCAGCGCACAGACCTGCGCAGATCTGCACGGAGCAGTCTAGCCACGTGGCTCCAATGACCGGGTCTCGTCCGCCACGTTTCACCACCAGCAGCGTCTCCCGGGTATCTATCCGGACGGACGGCGGTGCTGCGATGCTGCGAAGGGAAGAAACCAGGCCAGCGAATTTCGCGAAGACTGCGAAGGCTGCTTCAATCCGCCTAATCCCCCTTGCAGTCAGTGACCCTTTCCACAGCCCGGCATACCTTGCAACCCGGACCTCTTCCCCTTGAATCCCCCTGCTCTCCTTTTGCTAATCCTACCAGCACTACTATTGCTGCTGCTACTGCTGCTGCTACTGCTGCTGCTACTGCTGCTGCTACTGCTGCTGCTACTGCTGCTACTACAGGCATCACTTACTGGAAGTCCGAATCCTCCTTGACCCCTCCCTCCCGCGTTTCCCTTCACGCCGGTTGCTGCTCCCCTCTCTCTCCCCCCCTCTCCGCCCAGCTACATCTCCCTGGGTGCCTTCGCGGAGCAGGAGGGCCGCCAGGTGCCGGTGGCCTTCGTGGTGGCGGAGATCTGCCGGAGGGGCCCGGAGCAGCTGCCGGCGGCCGGGAAACTGGGCGCGGAGGCCCGGGACGAGGACACGGACCGCGGCAATGGTCAGGTGGGTTAGTGGAGGGGCGGTGGGGGCGAGGGAGGGGAGGGGAGGGGAGGGGAGGGAGGGCGGGGGCGGGAAAACTTTATGCAGGAAGCGAGCGTGTCAGCTGCCGACATCCAAAGCACCAGCTGCTGTGTGGGATTGGGGGTGGGTGGGGTGGGGGGGCCGCACATGGAGGAATGGGATAGGGGGAGGTTGAGGCCGGACGGGGGGGGGCGGGGGGGGACGGTCCTCAATGACGCCGGCTCCAGGTCGGAGGGAGGGAATGGAAATGTATTTGTAGTGTTATTACCCACAAGGTTCAGTTACACAGGTTTGGTACGCCGTACACCTGTTGGGGCATGTGTGTGTGTGTGTGGTGTTTGGATCTTCCCCGGTGGATGCGTGTCCGTATGTTTGTCGGTGGTGTCGGGAGAATCCCAGAAAGGATACTCGCGCGAGCGCACGTGTATATGTGTGTGTATGTGTTTGTTACATATCGGTACGGGCCTGACACTGGCCATGGTCACCTAAAGGGGAATGACCGCCGAAGCACTCTCCTGTTTGTGGGGGGAGAGGGGCGTGAGAGTGTGTGTATGTGTGTGTGCGTGTCTCAAGGCAACGAGGAACGGCCCGGCGCGATTGGGCCGTTGTTGGGACCTAGCAGCGGGGTCATTCGCGGATCCGTCCCAACCGCTACTGTCTCCGTCCCGCAGGCAAGTAGGGCACGTAAGATCAGTGGCATGTGTAACCTCCCGGGGCCCCCCCCTAGGTTCGAGAGCTTTGTGGGTGTACCGCGTTGCGTCGGTCGGCTGGCCGGACTAGGGTAGTTGGGTCGGTCGGGTCGGCCGCGTGCTGGGGGGTGGGGCGGAGCACTTGCATGTCACCAGCTTTTCATTACCAGCTCATCAGCCAGTTTTGGTCCAACCTCGTCAATGGCGCCGCAAACTTTATTCCAGCTCACGTCATCAGTTCTTTACTTCTTTTTCGCCGCCTCTACACCAACCCTTACTTCTTTACGGCCTCGTTCTACTGCTTTTCTTCCGCTCTTGTTATAGCTTTGGCGACTAGGTAGGTAGGTAGGTTTCCGCGGTCGTCAGCATTAAATCATCCCGTGGTCGCCGCCTTCAAAACCGCCTACTTGTCAGTTCTCTGCTTCTTGTACACTCTTTCCTTAGCAGCAGCTTCATTCGTTCGTGGTTCGTCCTTCCTTTGCCCCCCCCCGCAGCCCAGCAGCAGCACTACTGGCGGTAGCAGCAGCAGTAGCACCAGCAGCAGCAGCCGATCCGCTCGCCGGCTGTCTGGCAGCGAGTATGAGCCTGTAAGGATCAGTCGGCGGGAGATGGCCGCCGCCCTGGAGGCGGCTGGGTGCGTCAACCCGGGGGACACGGCGGTGGCGATCTGGTATATCGGAGTGTCGTACGAGTACCGGCGACAGGGTCTGGGCTCCCAGCTGATTGACCTGGTGCGGGAGGTGGCGGAGCAGGCCGGGTGGGTGGCAGGGGTGGGAAGAGGGGGGAGGGGGGGAAAGGGGTATAGTCGCAGGGTGTGCTGGCGGCCAGGGCAGTCTCGTGTGCTGGCGGCCAGGGGCGCTCGAGGTCGTAGGTAGCGCGGGTGTACCCGGGAGGGGGTACCTGCATGGCAAACCTTTACAGCGACCCAGCGGGTGGCGGTGGGTGAGAACTACAGAGGCAAGCAGGGTCCCCGAGAGGCTGGGGAGGACCCCGGCCGGCGTCCACTCGCCCTCTGTCTAAAAACCCCTAACGAGGGGCGAACAGGGCCAGCCAACGGGGAGCCTAAAACAAGCTGGCAACAAAACCACTTTCGTATCTTTACGTGTCCATGTAAGTGTATGTATGTATGTATGTATGTATGTATGTGTTTTTTGATTAATCTGAGCCGCGATACGAGAACATGACAATGTGTGTATGCGTGTCTGAGTGTGTGCGTCTGTGTGTACATGCACATGGCCTCCCCGTCCTCCGCCCACCTCATGTGGTCGTTCGCGTGTGCCCGGCTTGACGACCCGACCCGACCCGACCTGGTGCCCCCATACATAGGGGTCCCGGGTTTCCCTCCCCGAGTTCTCCCCCTTCTGTCGGCCCTACTGAGCAGCTGCGCAGCCCTGCTAACTGTCATGTCATCAGCTCACCACCAGCAGCCCGTACCCACACTCCAGGGGGTGCCGAGGGGGTCCCCTCACTGAAGGGGGGTTGGAAGGTCGAGCTGTTGTACCTTGACGTACAACAGGGGCTTCCTCAGCACCCTAGGACACGTCGTGGCCCGAACTCCGCCATACCCCCCCCCCCCCACCCCAGCGCAGGTGTAAGGCCATGTTCCTGCACGTGGCGGAGTACAATCCCAACGCAATCGCTTTCTACGGCAGCTACGGCCTCACCGCTGCACCGGGTGTATGCAAGCAGGGCGAGCGGGGCCGCCACCTGCTGATGCACATGCCGTTGGAGCCAGTGGGACTGGGACCGGGGGAACCCGGGGAGGCCGCGTCGCTGTTTTCGGCGTGTGATGTGTCGCTGTTGGGTACCGGCGTTGGCCGCGGGGCCGGATTCGGAGCCGGGAAGAAGAATAAGAATAAGAAACAGGGCCGAGCTGGGAAGCGGCGGGTGCTGCCGGAGGGGCGTGGGGGGAGAGAGAGCTACTGGGGGCTCGGCCCTGTGTCGGGGCCGAATGCCACTGTGGACTGCGGCGGCGGTATTGGATGGGTATCCTCGTGCGGCGGTGCTGCACTACGACGGTACAGATTGCGCCACCGGACATCCGCGGTGGGGGGAGGGGGAGGAGGTGTTGCTACGCGCATGGGCGGGTCGTCCATGTTAGGGGGAGGGGGTGTAGCGGGGGGGAGGCTGTATGGCGGCGGGCGCTGCTTTGTGGCGATGGGGGCGCTTGTGAGAGGAGTCCAGACAGGCGGCCTGGCGCTGGCGCCTGTGCGGTCGGGTAGCAGGGCGTCGCTGCAGGTGGTCGCTGGGGGGTTGCGGATGCAACTGGCCGTTGGGGAGTTGCGGCGGGTGCGGATATCAGGGCGGGTTCCCGGATGGCTATGACGCAGGCGCTCTGGTATTCAGTGGAACAATGCGGTTTGTGGCTCCAGGTTTGGTCAAGGCAGGCGTGGTGGCAGTGATGGCGCACTTGTGGGGCCGCATGTGCCATGAATCGGACTGGCGGGTTGTGTCGAACATTTCGACTCGGAAATGGCATAGGTATGTGCGGTTTTTACTGGCATGTTGGGTGCGTGCATGCTGTGGACTTTTTCATCACACGCGGATAGGGCTTGCGACATGCTTTCACGGCACGCGTTTGACTACGCCGCCCTATGGCCCACCCTCTTTGGCTGCTGTGTGTTGCTAGTCAACAACTTTGGATGCATCTCGGAGTTCGGCATTTTGGTGCTGTGGTTAAAATCGCCAGACTCGACAAGCTGTCGGCGTCTTCCGAGCGTTCCTGCTTCTCCCCGCACTCCCGGTCTTCGACGGCTCTGCTGGCCTTTTGCATTGTTCGTTCAGGCTGTGAAGTTTAATTTCCTTTATGTGGAAGCAGTTAATTGACTGCAACCCTATCCAGCTTAGCAGTTGCGCTTGTAAAAGTCTTGCTCTTTGCAGTTGCAGGTGAAGAGATTTGGGAAGTTAAGCTTTTCACCAGGGCAAAACATTCCGCTTTCATGGCACGATTGGCGCGGAATGTGAATTGTATGCACAATACCCGTAGCAACCGTTTGGCGGCTATATGTGGTTGCCTTTCAGGTGCAGCCGAAATTGAGGAAAAATGGCCTATTGTCGGAAGCAAAGTATCTTACGGAAGCAAAACGGACACAGCTGGACGCAAACGAACTTAGCGGACGCGCTCGAAACCTTTTTCAGTTCACTTTTGCGCAAAGTCGGGACCGCAAGCAAAGCCATGACAGTGTTGGCCATTGGATTATCTTCCCGCGCACCTCCTTGCGCCAGCGTTTTGCCCCGTCAGCTTCGAGCTGAGTTGTCGCGACAGGTCGCCAGTCGTACATAGTTTTTCGCCGCTAAAGCTTGGTACGGCGACATCTCCAGTGCCGTACATTGCGGGTCCTTTCGGGAGTGTTTGCAGTGGCCGGGCCACAGCACGTAAACTATCCTTTTACGAGACAAGCCGCGAAAGACCTATACGCTCTTAACATTGTTGGCCCGATATTTTTGCTTTTTCAGTGAGAGCGTCCGTTCCGAAACAATTCTTGGGGCATGGCGACCGCCAGCAGCCCTCGCCTTTCCTGCCTGTTAGGTTGCTCTACAACACCAGAAAGTTCTGAGGGACCAGCCTGCGCTTTGCAATCAGCGTCATGTGGACTGAGAACGAGTGCAAGCCCGCAGCAAAGACGTTGGTACTCAGTGCTGGCAGAGCTGCAGTCTACCGATGAGCCTAGGGCAGCTCCTGAGAAAGACCTCGAGCTTGTTGCTCGCCTCCTACGCGAGGCGCTCCATTGCGTGCAAGGCGACGAACAGTGGAATTGCTCGGGCATAGCGCAGATGCTTCAGCGGTAAGTAGCAACGGACTAAGAGCTTAACCGACTTCCTTCAATTTCACAATGTAGCATTCTATTTACAATTTCGCTCCACTGTTGCTGTTTCGACTTCGTAGCGCGCTCGAAATGTCCGAACGGGGCTGCGTCCAATCCGCCCGAAAAGCAGCTGTCGGTCTGCTGGACTTCCATAAAATGGTGGAGAAGTATCGCCAAGTTGTAGCTTCGCGGACGAAGTCCTCAAGCAGTGGTCACTCTACCGGCTCAGGTGGGCCTGTTGTCTTCACCGCTCCTCATACCAGCTTGCCTGTTTTTTGAATAGCTGATACTGCGGTGATGATTACGCAAAGCGCGTACGTTTGGGTTGCTTTGCTTTAAGGCCGTCAAGAGCTGAGGCAAAGCACTTTAAGGGTGCGTTATCGTCCTTGGAACAAGGACCAGGCCTTGCGCTTGCTTTGAAATTAGCCGCGTTCTCATGTAAATTGTTAAGCGTACCCTGGCGAGTCCAGCTATGCGCTTCGCCTTCCTTCTGCGCTAGTGTCGGCGCAGCAGCGCCCGCGCCCCTTTCCGAAACCTTTTGGAATTCCTCGATTGCAGGCAAGCGCAACTGCAGCGATGACATGGATTCGGACTTTTCAGAAGATGCGTGCGGACCTCTAAAGCGGCAGCGGACGGTCGGGCTTGAGGAGAGCAGTGTACCCGATGAGAATCACAGCGACCAACGGCCTTCGGAGTTTGCTGTCCCGCACCTGCCGGCAAAGAAGGCGCAGCACACTGCACCTGTTAGTCATACGTCTACACAGCCTAGCGCTTCCGCAGCGTCGACTTCAGTGGTGTGGACCGGTAGCATATGGCAGAATGTTCAGAACGGGCGCGACCTCGTCTACTGCAAGATCAGTGTGCCGCTACCTGCAGAATGTGCCAAAGAGCTTACATATGGGCAGGACATGGAGGTTGTGCAACTCGCACCGCGGCGAGGCGTGAAGCTGGGGCGGCATCGCGTTTGCAAGTGCACTATTGTCGAGGCGTCCGTAGCGCAGCTCGCGAAGCTCAAGTCAATGGCGCAGAATGAGCTTGTAGCTCTTGCGCCGTTGGAGAACCATGGCCTTATCCTGGTGCCGTACCTTGACAACGCTGGGGGCGTCCGGCTGGTATGCTTTTGCTTGACTCTCTAGCGACGTCTTGGGGGGGCCCAAGAGCAACGCAGCGAACGGTCTTCAGCTCCCTGCCCATGAAGGTGCTTAAGCTGCCCGAGCATTGACCCGAGCATTTGCTTCTCCAAGGAATTGCTTTCCGTGGTGGAGCCCGGCCCAGCAACTGGATTTAGTCCTCTGTTGTGTTTTAGAGTGCAGCAGCTTGTAACAACGTCAGGCTTTTAAAATGCAGCGGTTTGTGTGGCTCTCCATGCACGCGCTGCGAAGCACCACGGCTGCGCGTGCCTTGGGGCACGGTGACCGTTATTCTGTTTGAGAGAAGTTATTCCTTTTCTGTGTTGCTGTCGTAGTGCCTGCTGGTTGAGCGGTATCGGAACTCGAGATGAGGGGTTATGCGCGTAGGAGAAGTGAGTCCGGGTGGGTTTTATTTCATTGGAGGGCTGAACTGAACGGAGTTGACCGTCTGATTTTGAGAAAGCGCGAGTTTGTTGTGGAGCGGTTTTTGAAGGGAAGAGTGACGCTGCTCACAATTTGCTGGTTTGGTTTGCTTTGTGCCTATGTGGGTGTCGTCTCCCGCTATGGCAGCATCCTGGTGTGTGTATTCGACCATTACGACAACTCAAACTTAATAGTATAGGCGACGTTTTACTGTTAGGGAGGTGTTGGTTGGATTTTTAGGCATATCCCTGTCCGAACTGAGATCGTTTATTCTCCAATTTTAACCCTTGGGGGATTTGTGGGTGATAATGATTATCGCTATATTTCTAATGGGTTTGGGAACGTGTGGAGGGCTGCCAACTGCACGATCGAAGGAGCGATTGGTGTTATGAGCGTTGTCAATCCCTCGTGCACACGTGAGTGGGAGATTGAATCCATTCCAGATTGAATCGCATATGTTTGCATTTCGGATGGCAGTCTTGTACGACGTCGCCATGGAAGGTGCCAGGCATGGCCGAGTAACCCGTATGCTGTGTCTTTGTGCAAACCGACATGTTTAGTGCGTCCGCCTAGCGGATGACTTGGTACCATAGCAGCGACGCAAGACCCATGCTAAGTAGTGTTAGGGACGGAAGAGATTTTGCGCCCCTTTTGTGCTTCTCCCTGTGCTTCTCTGTTGCGGCGCCAGGTTTTTTGCTGCTTCCCCCCAATCTGCAACCACCATTTGACGGCGGCTTGCGCTAAGAAGTATTGACTCGACTAGGAGCCATCTGGATGCGGCCCGCTATGGCTCGACGTGCCGGTTACGTCGCCGACGTCCATAAAGGCGTTGCCTGTCTGCGGTCGTGATACGTTCCGTGTAAAGGGCGAGGTGTACAAACGGTACTCTGTTAAAATTTGTTGGCAGCGGTGGTCCGAAAAGTTGCGTGCCGTTAATCGCTGCTGTTTCGGAGGATTGGTTTAACGACTTTGGTGGCGATACATGACTCCGTGCTAAGGTGCGTCGCCAACGCCGTTAACAACGAGTTGGTGACAGTTTGTGGACGAGCTAAGCTGGTGTTGATCGTGGGAAATATAGTAACTGACGTGCAGCTGCCGCGAGAGTAGCTTATTAAACGCTGCTGACCGGAACCTATCTTGAAGTTCCGAAGTTTCCCACCAAGGGCTTTTTTGTTTTGGTCCATATACGATTAAAACGTTTTCCTATGGAATAATTTATCGGAATATGAATTAACGCAAACGAAACATGTAATTTGACTTAACATTCTTGTGGGCATGCTTTATTCCACAGATCCACTCGTGTCATGTAATGTTGTACATGATTGACCGAAGGTAACTTAGACGACTACTACATCAGAGCACCGGGATTGACCAGATGCACCATAACAGAGCTTGAGAACGTTACAGGCAACCTCTCTTAGCAAACCACCTTCACATGCACCGCGCATGGTAAAGGATACAGCATACACATCTTGCCTACACGACCTTCAAATGTAAAATTCAAACCTGCATGTACTCATCCCTGAGAGGAGCAATTATACAAACCGGTGCCAAGCATAAAAGAGTCAAAGCAAACCCAAGTCGAGCAGTCTATTAAAAAATACAGCTCTGCGAATCGCGTGCACGAACGCAGCGAAAGCATATACCTCTCACTCGAACAAAAAATGCAATCAAGGACACAACTCTCACCACCAACTAGAACGGGAACAATTATGTTCTTCAGAATCATTCGTGTGCACTCACCAGAATCGTCCATCCAACCCAACAATTCCCCATCACAACATGTCGCACATTAGGACACGGCAAGGCCGAAATCATGGCTGCTGCTTGAGCGAGTCCTGGTTGAAAGCAAATTCAATCTTGATTCGGTCGAAAATAGACTGCGGGAGACAGAACGGGGGGGTTCACCGAAATCCGCCTGTCAGCCAAGACAAAATATTGACGCAACAATACCAACCAGCAGCCCACACCGATATGGACTCCAGCTAAGGATTCCAGGACACGACACGACGAAGTAACGGTGCCAGTAGGGTAGGCCTGAGCCCTTCTCCAAGGACGTGTCTTATTTAACATTGTGCAGCTCCCCCCCCGCGTGTGCGGCCCCAGCCGACAAAACCCTATCTCTCTGCGATGCCCCCATTCCGCGACCACCCCAACCCTTTCTCCCCCACGTGCATCATCCCGTCCATCACAACCAGAGACCCGCCTCACCTTATTCATCATGGATTCCGGCCTGTCGCGCAGGAGGGCCTCAATCTCCTGGTAAGAAGGCTGCTCGTCCCTCGTGGCGATGCAGTCCGAGCTCCCCCCCCGGTCCACCACGTGGACTTGCCACCGGTTGGGGTGAGCCTTGAGCGTCCTGCATCAAGAGAAGTCAAGAGAAGTCAGCTGCTGGGAAGGGAAGGAACTTTTGTTTCTTGCGTGCCAAATACTACATATGTACATATTGTCTACTTTGGGGCAACAAGGACGAGAGAGTGGAGAAGAGCGCCAGTGGTAAGGCGGCATGACGGGGGGACTCGAATTTTAGCCCGGGGAGCAACTGCAAACCCCTCTCCGCTGCCGGGATCGAATGGAGGCTGTGTATGAGAGCTTTTGTGGATAGCGATCTAGAGCCGCCAAAGCTTTTAATACCATCAGTGTCTCAAAAGGGCTGCCCCCAAAGAATCTGTTCTAGGTGTCATGCTTAGTAGGGAACTACCCTTCACCAAAAAGCGCGTAGGGCCCACCTAATAGAGTCGCCGTACACCCGCAGCTGCTTCAGGCAGTACGTGGGCTGAAAGCTGTTAATGAAGCGCTCCGCTTCCGCCTTCCGCTGTCCGAACCCGAAGTCTGATACGAGGTTACCGCGCGTCTCCCACTGGGGGTTGACGATCAGCACAAGCTCCGGGGCATCCGGGCCGTTGCACAGCTGGGTCAGCTGCAAGCAACGGGGGGGGGGGGAACAGAGGGGGAGGAAAAGAGTCAGAAATGGAAATCACTGGCGGGGCGGGATCTTCGCAGCCTCCTCATGTACAGCCGTGGGCTGGCGCGCTGGCACCCTTCAGACCTTGGCATCCCTCCCAACAGCAGTGCCCGATAATGCTTGGTGGGCATCACGCTTGGCCATCAGTGCGTTTAAACGGTCAAACCAGAGGCCGAGACGTTGGAAACGGGTGCCCCGCGACGGCAACCGGCCTCTCCTGAAACAGGCTGCTGCTCCACATCGTCCCCACATATCTCCCCCAACGTCGTTATGCATGCACATACAGATTGAAGGATGACGACATTGCTACTTGACCCGTCTGTTCTGTTGCAAACCAGCAACTGCGCGCACGCAAACGTGCACGCGACTCGATATGTTTTTTTTGATCGCGAACGCCCACAGCCACAGCCAAGCTCGCTCGATAAAAAAACAATCCCCGCAGACGTGCGCGTTCAGAAGCAAGAAAACAGGTCACAACACGCTTCGGAAGACCTCTTTGATTTGAAGATTCCCCCAAGGACACCCCTCACATCCACACCTCCAGCATCTGCAAAGCCCTGGTCATCTCGTAACCCCACTGCACACGTCTTCACATCAAGTCCCATAACAAGCCGTTGCGACCGCATGGTTGACAAGATGGTAATGCGGGTGGCCGACCCCTCCCCCCTACCTTGTCTAGTGTCCCCGCAGTGGGGAACAAAACACAGGCAAGGTTTTTGCCGGTCCACGCTCCAACCGCATCGCCCTGGTCCCAAATGTTAGCTGCCAGAGGACCCTGAAGTCCTTTTATCTGCTTGACGGTACGCAAAACGGACTCCACCATCGGCTGGGCAGCCTTAAACTGCTGCCGGATGCCACCAGGCCTGCAACTCAACAAACAGTCTCTAGGCGACACCGTCTCACATTCCTGTGTGATTACGATGTTGATCACTCTCACCAATCGTCAAGGTCAGTGGCTCCGATCAGTGGCAGCAGCAGCTCTAAGCGCTGGAGCCGCACGCCATCACGCCATGCGGTCTCTATTGCTTGAGCAGCTTGTTGGGCTTGCTGGACAGGCCCGTCGGGAATCGGCACGACCCGGTTCACCCTGCGGTCGTTCATGAAGGCCCAAAGGAACTCAAATTTCGCACAGAAACGCCGTGAGTAATTCACGTAGAGTTAACATACCTCACTTCGGCAGAATCGCTTGTGCTCGCTCGCGGACAGACGGTGAAACACCGGCCACTAAATACGGGACGTCTACACACCAGTCGCCTGTCGCTGTGTGAGCAACCACGAGCTCTAGCATCAGACGTATGTTTATGCAACATTGTACACCGTGTATGAATATGGGGTGATTAGTGACAGGATTGGCAACAAAACTTGCACACCATACGCGATGCAGTCACGCGAACTATGGGTCTTAACCCTGTTGTAACATGCAGATTACAATATGCGCAAAAGTTATAAACTTCATAGACTGCTTAGGAAAGATGGTATCCAAGTTGGTAAGGCAGCGGAACGTTTCCGTACGGCGGCCTCCAGTTAATCAGAAGACAAGGGCCAAGAAAATATGGCGGATATCTTATACACAATAAACCACATCATTTACACGACTATAGTCCAATCATTATGAACAACACACATCTCCATTATTTTGCAACATTTCAGTATCGCTAAAGCTGCAGGGACTCGGGGAAACGTGCAGAGACCGATTTCCGGAGTTGCGCAAGGACGGCTATATACCCAAGTTTATGACAGTTGGGTTCAGCGCCGACGATTGCCGTGCGAGGTCAGTTCCCCCGCCCATTACGTAAGTGACACGGCATTCGACGTGAGCTATGATCCCTGGCCAGTGCACGGCAACACCAATGGACTTGCCCCACCCTCAATCGCTTCTCCTAGTGACTCATGAATCGAGGCTACGCCATACCCTCCCCGGCAACAGGCCCACCCTCAGGTCCTTTACTGCTGCTTGACAAGGCGATTTCCTTCGCTCATTCAGCTCTGGGATTGCGGATGCCTCATGTTTAGGGGCCGTGGAGAGTTGCTCATGGTTGTCGGGTGGGTTACTGTTTGGCTGGCTGCTGGCTAACCATATGAATGACCTAACGATGCCTCGCTCGGCCCGCGGCGATGAATGAATGGTCGGGGTACTATGTTGCCCTGTCTGGCTGACACCGCGCTCGACCCACCTGGGCGGCATTGCTTTAGGGCTGTGACCTTCCGGCCGCCGTCGCCCATGTCCCGCCCTCACCCTTACGCCCGCATGCCGTACCCTTGGGCTTCCGCTGCCCTTGATGATTGATTCAAGTGGCTGGGCCACTCCTGAACGGTTACCTTTCTTTTCTGCTGCGCAGTCTGGGGGTCATATCGGGGTGGTACATCTTCGGCCTGCCGCTGCAGGTGAGTGTGGGCGTGCTGCTGCCGGGACGGGGGACGGGTGTGTTTGTTACATATCGGTCCGTGTCTGACATTGGCCATGGTCACCTAACCATACCCCAACGGGAACGAGGGACCGCCGAAGCGCTCTCCTGTTTGTGGTGGAAGTGGGGCGTGAAGTGCCACTATCCCCTCCTGCTCTATTGATAAGAATTTTGTGTGCGTAAACGATGGGGGCGACATGGAGGGGAATCCCTATGCGTGCACGGCACGGGAAGGTGGGGAGATTGCCTTGGCCCGTGTCGAGGTCGTGCCACGTCATGTCATTTCGTTTAGAGGAGGTTTTGATTTTGGAGGAGGCCAACGGATTCGCAACGCGGCGCTATGACAACGTGTGGCTCGAAATTCGCAACATGTCCGTTCGCGCACACGGAGGAGTCCTCGGAGTGAACGAGCCCGGTTACTGCGATCAGTGATGCGTATAAACAACAGGCTCATGATAACTAAATGTAAACACGGGACGGTATTGCTGGCAACCTGGCAACGGTTGTGGGTGAATTTAACGCTCCATAAACCGCTGCGGGTGCAGCGCAATTACAGAGAGATACCCAACAAGCTTCATGTGAGTTTGGATGTGCGCTGATGGTCCTCAGTGGCAGCTGGCTCCAGACGCCAAACGAACGTGGCAGACGCGTTTAGCAGTTATATGTCGTACTGCCATATTGGTCGTAGACCCGCAACTGCTGAATCTGTTGTGTGAAAGCAATCCGTGGTTGCCAACGCGGCGGCAGCGACAGCAATGCTGCCGTCACAGAGCATTGAGAGCTTTACGTACATGTGGCAGAGGCAGCTAAATGCACGGCGGATATTATCACTTGATTCGATGAACAATCCCGGATTATTTTAATGTTATGGCGTAGAAGAGGTGGATCTGTCTGTCTGGATTCGTTCATTGCCGGGTTTGCGACCGCGTCAGCGGCGGCCCTGCGGTGGCTCTCATCCTGAATCCATCCCCTTAAGTGCCGCGCGGGGGCTTTTACCTCCTCCGCCATCACCATGCCTTTGCCCTGAGCAGGAAGCCTCCCTGAGACTTCGGAGGGAGGAGGGCCATGCTGACAGCCCGCTTCAGCCGCCGCCGCAGCAGCAGCAGCTGGTGCAAGTGCAGCAGCCTCCTGCAGCCCATGCAGGTGATAAGTAGACGGGAAACGAGGGCTCGAGCAGCGGTGATGTGAGTGAGGAAGCAGCAGATTTGTACGCAGTGCTGTCTGCTGGTGCTGGTAGTGCTGGTAGTGCTGGTGCTGCTTTCGAGGCGGGGAGGAGAACGGCGGCGCCGTGCTGCCGGTGTTTTGCCAAATCCTTGACTCTGCTGGTTTTTCGTCCTCCTTCTTTCTGTTACCTTCTTTCTGCTATGTCCTCTTGCGGCGGCGGTTGTGGTATCAGCACACGTTACACTATCGTGCTCCGAGGCCAGGTGCTGACGAGTTAATGCGTAAACCGCGTCTAAAGCGTGGAAGAGTGTCCGTGCATTCCTAGGATTTGCATTGGCAGTACTATTGCACGCCCTTCCACCGGCATGTGTGTATTTTGGTGTGGTGGTCTTGCCAGGATGGCGACAAGAGCATATGCAGCTGCCTAATGTATACGTTAATAGACGGAAGTGGTGGTAGGTCCATGACCTGGGTCGGGAAATAAAACGGTCGAAGAGTTACCGGTAGTGTGGTGTAATGGCGTATACCACCATGCCTTCGTTGCCGTACCCTATGTGCTCGGACGATGGATGACCGAGGCGGCGAGGGGAGTGGGAGGACAGCTGGTGTTAGCCTGGTAGCACAGGCCGGGGGTGTGTTGAGTCGGGCTATGGGCTTGTTTTTTGCATGCAAGTCTGCAGGGTGTGCGTGGAACCATATACTTGGGTGCTGTCTCGCACTTACCGTTGGCACCGCATTTTTACACGTTGTGATGGTGCCGTACAGTTTCAATGGTTGGATTGAAAAGATGTAACGCTCGCGTAACAGCTAATCCTGGTGTGTCCCGTATGGCTTGTGGTGGCTTTCGAGGTTGGCATGCATGAGACATCGATTCTCTCATCCATGGTTAGAGAGTGCTTAGGGTTCACACATACGTGTGTAAATAATGAGTATTTACGTGTACGTTACTTTATCTAACGTGTACGTTACTACGTGTACGTTACTTTATGGGAAAAGGAGACCTGCGTAGCCTGCGGGGCCGATCCTTCAGATGAGCACCTTGCCAGCAGGCAAGAAGATGCATCAGCGTGCATACATATTACATGCACACACATATTGCCTATCAGCCAATTCGCAACCGAGGGGATCTTTAATGATGACCACATAAAAGTAATGTCTTTTTTTGGTGGTGAGACAATAGAACCAATGTACAACCCCCAGAGGCTAGGCAAAGAAATGAGGGTCGACATGCCAGGATACGCTCTTATGCTAACTGGTGATATGCCAAATTGCGAAATGTCTAATTCGCTTTGCCGAAATCCTGCAATCTACGTATGTGTGTTGCCTCCACCGCCAATAAACCTAGAAAATCCACACCAGATGCACGTACGGCATCATTGTAGGTGCTTATGATACAGCTTCAACTGAGCTTCAGTTCAAAAAGGCTATATACACCGGCCACACGACCCACCACCATTCGTCAGCAATGGGCAAGCCGGTTACCAGTTATCCAAATCTTCGCCCGTGTACACGTTTCAAAGCATCCTGCTACAGCGGCGCAAGATGCTACAGCTGCACGGTTCCATGCCGCAAGCACGCGAACGTCCTCAAATGATGCGCAAGATATCCGTTCCCCAAGCACGCAGCCGAACTTTAGGCACCACATTGCTTTCTTACGACATGTCAATGCCTGCTGTAAGCAACATCCTGCATGACCTAATCCCTTCACTTTTCTCCTCCAGGCCACAGTCCCCTTCTAGAACGTTATTTCAGTTCATAAGTCGCACGTTATCGACACACAACAGCGCCTCGAACTCAGGGTGCGGGTTGAAGAACTCCAGCTTGACCAGCTCGCCGGCACTGGTGCCGCTGCTGCCGCAGCCGGAGAAGGACCCGCCGCCGCCTTGCCATGCCCAGCTGAAGAGGTTGAAGTCGACCCAGTACTTGACCCAGCCGGAACTGCTCTCCGCGACCTGAAGTGAGCTCAAGGGCACGTGGCGGCATTGGGCTGCACCCGACAGTACGAGGGCTACATCTGCAACACCCGTAGAGCCGGAGTAGACCCAGAACTCCAGTGCCCTGTGTGTGCGCGGTTGGATCGGTAACAAGGGGTGAAAGGTGTGTTAGGATCTGTGCGCCTTGAGGGTCTGTTGCATTTGCGTTTTACACAGATATAAAAGTAAAAGCGGCTCGTGATGAGAAGTTCGCAGGCTACATGCAATGCACCTCACATCTCGCTTGCTTTTAACTGCCACAAAGGCGCTACATAGCTACATATGCGCTAACTTGGCCAGCCGGGATTAATAGATACCCCCTGCATGTACTGCAGGGCGTCCTCTAGCCGTACCGCTGTGTTAAGGCCCCGGGTAATGATGTTCGATGTGGGTCAGGCAAAAGGATCCTGACCCACATCTCGGGACAAATTGCACATTTGAAGAATTTTATCACGGCATCTCCCCAACCTCACCTAAGGCCGACAAACGAGCCTTGGGGCCCGTAGAAGCTTGTGGCGGCGCCCTTCGGTAGGTAGTGGCAGTTTGCGGTACCGCGGTCCTTACCTGCATGATGTTTATGTTATGCAATGTCTGTAAGTGCTTGAAAACATGTTTCAGGAAAAATTTAAATTCGACAAGCCCTCCATAAGCCCTATTTGCCAATAGGTCAATAAGCCAGCAAATAAAATGAAAACGCATGAGCAACCGATGCATATCGACGGGAATAAACATATTGGCATGCGGAAAGCAGCTTGTTTCTCAAACGGCAATCCCAGCCAGTGCTTGCAATTAGCAATCTTCATGGCTAGTTGCTACAGGCAGCCTCCCCTACAGACAGCCTCTCCTGGTCCATAGCATGCAGTGGTGACGGATCTCCGTACCGGCTGGGGCGTATGAGGAAAAGGGACTAGCGCCGTAACTGGCATCAGACCACCCAGCGCCAAATTGACCGCCAGAAAAGACCAAAACGGGGGCAGAAGCACCCGTCCATAAGTTGCCGCTGTTTGAGGCACCACCGTTACTGCCCATCTGAGCCTGGTTATTTTGGCTCTGTTCCTGCGTATTGCCGCCGCCATTGCTGCTGCTACCGCCACCGTTCATCCATGACGGGTTGCCTGCACCAAAAAACACATGTTGTTTCCGTTTGACTAGAAGCGCAAAGGCTTCAAAATTCATATAAGACATAATCATTGCAGATAATATAGCTAAAATAAAGGAGCTCGGCTTACTGTTGCGCTGCGATGGGAAGTCAGGATTCTGCAGCAACCGCCGTCCACCGAGCGCTGTCGCGCCCGTCTGTAAAGCCACACATAGGAAGCCATCGTGGTCAAGAAGGTTCGCCCAATAAACTAAAATACAGTGTCTCTGGCAATTGCGCAGAAGAGGATATGTATTGCGTTGGTCGGACTTACCGCGGTGCCGCATCGAAGGAGCGAAGCAGAAAGAAGCACGGCGGTGAGTTTCCAGATTCGAAGCGCCATCTCTGGCCTAAGATTTCCCTGAGAAATTTGGATATCTCGGGCCAATGGGGCGCTGACTCGCTGGGGAGCGAGTGATAGATAATTCGGATCACGAGAATATAGCCGCAAGCACAATATCACCCCCGGGCAGTATTAACGCCTATTTCTTGCCGCTCACATGGCAAGCTTTAGCCAATATATGTATGCTGGCAGGAGCTTTGGACGTACGGACGTGCATTACTCATGATCCCGCGCAAAGCAGCCATGCTGCTGGAATTATCGTGCAAAGATCGCAAATGAAAAGGGACATGATATTTTTTTAACAGCCTGTGGTATTGCTTGTGATGGTCATTATCTGATGTTAATCAGGAGGTTGCGGGACGGACCTGATGAAGTAGCGTGCTGGCGCAAATTCCTGCAGCATGCAGGTCCTTAGACAATAACCTCCTAGTTATTGATGAAAATGTTGTTGCGACTGGTCCTGAGCTGACAGTAGACTACTTATTGAGTAATACCCCAACCGACAGCACAAGCAATCTGTGAGCAGCATGGGGCTCATCCCTAATTCAGCAACCTAGCGCTGTGGGACGTCCAGATTCTAGGCTTCGGATGTTGACAGCCGATCAGGGATTCAGCAATCGTGCACATCAATCCACACCCTTATGGAAAACTTCTTCGCATTGCACGGTTTGTCACGCTTAGTTACCATGCCGTCGGTGCCAACTGCTTCTTCGCGGGAGGCAGTCAGTCATGAATGCGCAGGCATGAAAGGACAATTCTGTCGTTTTCCCATCGATAGACCAGCCCCCAGAATCCTCAGAGGTCCAAAAAGCGCAACCGCGGACGACCTCCCTGGCCCAGGAACAAATTGGATAGGTTTGCCTGTGTCGGAAACCTCATGGTGAAATGGTCGTCGGACCGCACAAACGGCTTCGTTCCTCAAACGCTGGTAACTGACAAGTACATGGAAGTTTATAATACGCAAGGCAACATGGACAACCCCGCTACAAACATATCGGACAGTCAAACCCAAAATGCCAACGACAGCAACAAATTGACCCATCTCCCGCCGCTTGCCTGCCAGCGCCCGCGGAACCAGCTGGGGAACCCTTCCAAACACAACACAAGCACACATTTATCTCGCAATTACGGCAAGTAATACCCAACCAGTCTGTGCATTGAAATCCGGGTAACGTGTCAGGCGACCCTAGGCACGTCGCAAGCAGCATACAGAGTTATCAGGCCGGAGCAAGGTGGAGAGGAGGAGGATGAACACAGAAGCTCGGCAAGTTGTCAAATTAAAAGCTTTTGCTTATTTAATCAGGCCAGATAATATCAGAACTCTAGCCTTGAACTTGCCTTTCATGGATTGAAAGCAGATGTATATAGACGCAGGAGGCTACTTTTGCAGAAAGCTGAGCGAGCTGGAACGGGAGCTGAAGAGAAGGAGGTTTGACCCGAACAGAAAGCGCCAATGTCGTATCTTGGCACAGCCGGGGTTAGTTTCCGTGGCGGCGGTACGGCCCAGACAAGCCGGCCCAGCCCCGTGCACCCTTTCACCTACAACAGCGTGCCAGCGGTGGTGGATGTAATGCACCCAAAACAAAGACGTCCGTCCAGGGTCTCATCGATTCGCCAGAAACGCGACCGCCTCGTCCGAGGGACAAGGCGCCCAGTACGGGTGCTGCTGTGAAACACTTGCAAGACCCAGAACGGCCCAAGTCAGCGGGACTCGGCTGGCGAGGCGACATTGGCACGGAGAGGGCCTGGGGATGAGGTGGTCGGGGGCTATCTAGCGTCCGTTGGGGCCCAGGCAGGAAGAAACGATACCTAGGAATGTCGTACCTAGGAATACTGACACGTGTGCATTAGGCGCTCTGGTTGAGGAGCTGTACGGAGCGTTTGAGAGGGGGGGGGAAGCGACTGACTGGACGGGGTTTCGTGTTAGCCAGCGGTGCGATGCGGAGTACTGTGTGTTGGGGCCTGGTACGTTCGTAGGATGGCTCCGGGCGGGGTTGCTGTCGGGGTGGCACGAACCCTTTGCGCAGGTAGTGCCGCGCAGATTTGGCGTTTGTTGCGTTGTTAGGGCGGCTTGCTACTCCGCGGAATATCCGGGGGCGACGCCTGCCGCTTTGCTGCAGTTGCCTGGAGAGCCTTGGAATGGAATACTTGGATGCGACATGCAGGTTGGTTGGACGGAAGCAAGCCGTCCACTAGCCCAGGGTGGAAAAAACATTGTGCAGAGGACGTTGGCTGTTGGTCGTAGCTGGGATGTCAAAAACGAAACCATTTCTGTGATGTAGGTCGTTGGGTATTTGACCTAGGATTAGGAGCATAAGGTGAATTTAGTTTGCTTCGACCTGTTTTCGCAGATCTGGGCGTCATTATATGGCTGGGTGCCAAAGGTACCAAGGACCTGGGAGTTGAACCTTCCCAATGTACTAGTAGCAAATGACTCGCCGGCTTCGACCATTGGAGTTGTTAACTTTTCCCGTCTCTTCGCCCGCAATCCTGTGTGAGCGCAGAGCTTGCTCATGGGATCATAGGGGACTTAAGGCGCGATGACATGAAGAAAGGCGCGATGACATGAAGAATGAGCTGCTTCCAGTGTGCTTTAATTTCTAAGTAGGTGGCAGCTCATGGATGTTGTACGGCAATTACCGTTAACACATCATTGCGAACTTCTACTGCGCCCAGCATTGCGCGACGGACTCAGTAGTGTTAGAAACAGTGTTGTTACACTGTTTATTGTATTGTTGTATAAACGTGATTGTTTTATAGCTGCAGGGTCGAGTTTTAGTATCGGAAAACCTTTGACCTTTTCGAGCCACTTCGCAGTAGCGTCCTAGGACATCTCAGCAGGCACTGCAAAGCATCATTTATGGCAGGACCTGAACTTCTAAAACTGCTTTCTGTAATATGCTTGGCCATGTTTCTCCAGAGCGCACAAGCCTGCTACAAGAGGCTTGTTTATCATGGAGAAATACCACTACTTTATATTGATGATTGCACTTCAAATTATGAGCTCGGTTTATTGGTGGGCGAGACTTTTAGCTCCACAATAAAGGGACGTATGCGAGACAGTCTCGCTTTCCAAAAAGTCCAGGTGCGTCTCGTCGTTTTTTGAGTTTTTTCGCAGTCGGCAGAACGTCACGGAAATAAAGTTTAAATCACAAGGACCAACGTTGCGCTCATTGGACCCCGAACATGGGACCCTTAACTTATTGCGCCTCAACGAGGAGCTCTTATCATGAACTGTAGCCCTTGGTTACCGAACAGATAGGAGAGAAGCGCGTTTAATAATCCATCACTGTGGGTATCTTACACGTGCCTGCGTTTCGTTGTACCCCACACGGATTGCTGTGCCTTGTGCATGTGTGTATGTGTATGTGTACCAGGGGGCTGGAAAAGGGTACTGTAGAGATGTGAAGGGAAGGGAAAGAAAGGGAAGGGAAGGGAAGAACACGGCACGGCACGACACTTCTTGCGTCGTGTGTTTTAACATGCCACCATCTTCATCCACCGCGCGTACGACTCCAAGCGGAACTCTAACGGAACATCGCCACTCCGCGGCATCTAGGCACGTGCCCGGCCCTCCGCGGTACCCATACCGGTCATTCACATCACCTCTCAGCCCAGGCGACTTCTCCCCTCAACCCCTTCCCTACGAGCTACACGACAGCCGGCCCCTGCTGTCGACCCGGGCCTTCCCGCGTGTCCACATCACAACCCTCCATCCCCCTTCCCCTTCCCCCACACACACCCGGATTTCTCCCCCCCCCACACACACACACACCCCTTCAGGCCTACTGCAGCACCAACTGGGGCCGGGAGCTGCTCACAGCCCTCGAGGACCGCCACCGCATTGCCTTCCCCGCGTACTTCTCCGAGCTGCAGGGCCTGGCGGCGGGAAGCGGAGTTCCATTTGACCAGGTGCGACCCTCCCCCCCTCCCCCCTTTCCCCCCCTTCCCCCCTCCTGCCAGGGGAGGTGCCGCTGCGCAGGAGAGGAGACGAGCCAGCTTAAGAAGTGACACCTCCCACCACCTGCAGCCTCCTGAGGCGCTGGGTTTCACAA